ATTGAGTCCCATCAGGAACCACATTTCTTCATCAGGCAGATTCACAATAATCCAGCCTCTTTCTTTTCATGTTCAAGCCATTTTACAGAAAAGAAAACCCAGAATCCCTTCACCTCAAAGCAGCAGTCATTTCTCTCTCAGACCTTTCACACTAGCACCGAAGAGAACCCGTTTCAATGACTGATAACGACTGCAGATTCATTTATAATGTTGCTGTGCAATCGCTTACTTAGCCAAGTGTGAACATTTAGAGTATTTCCAGGTTTTTACTGTGCACTGCTTTATTTATTTAACAAAGTAAATTACATTATTTGTTTGTGTGCACGTGAAATATCCCTGGAGAAGGAGGGATGTTGACTCGTGAGAGGCCAAGAGTAAGAAGGAGACTTTTCCCTGAATTCCCTATCATCCCTTCTGAATTTTGAATCATGTGAATGTTCTGACTGTTCAAAATACAGGGTGTCCCCCCCCAAAAAATGTCTACAGGGTGTCTGTAGTTTCTACTACATTTTGAAAATAAAATGTATTTTAATAAACACTGGTTTTATAATTATTCAAAGTTGTGTATAAATTTTGGGGGACTAAGCATTGCCCTGGAAGTTGGGGGTAGAGATGGGGTCTATACTGACTCCCTGATATGGGCTCTCCCAAAAGTGTGTCTAACGTGCCTTGGGAACCCAGAGGAGAAAAGTGGGTAGAGAGTCACAGGGGATGACAGTTTCACTGTACCTTGAAGCCTGGGTAGAATTTGGCTCAACTGATAAGAGACCACTGTGGGCTGAGGTCCAGAATAGGAAAGGGCACTTCCTGTTTGGGGTGAGAGTGATGGGAACTGAGCCTTTCCAGGAAGGCAGCGAGCAGTGCAGACAAGGCTCTGCGGTGTGAACTTGATCCTGGAGGCAATGGGAGACCTCAGAGGGCTTGAAATGGGGAAAATGCAAAGAGCTGTGTGTGACAGTGACCCTCTAGCAGCAGCACAAGGACCTGAACTAGGGGACCAGCTGTTCTGGTCTGCCCAAGACCATCCTGGTGTTAGCATTGAAAGTCCCATGCCCTGGGCAACTCCTCAGTCCCTGGCAAACAGAGATGGTTGGTCACCCTGATCTGCCACTGTGTCCCAAGACTTGCCTGCCCTGAGAACTGATCCAGTGACTCCCAGGAAACTTTGAAATACCCACACAGATATGCCCTTCCCTCTACTCCCGAAGGCCCTTCCTCCAACCACCACTTTTATTGATTCTAGACTCAATAACTTCTAGACATAAAGAGATTTATGAGAAAAACATCCACACTTACCAATTTCCTGTCTTCTTCCCTACTTCCCTCCCCTCCACTGAGACTTCAGTCAAAGTCAACCAGTCCCTGTGCCAAAGCAAACCTGCACACTTTTGTGTCCACTGGGCCACTCGGGAAAAGGTTATATTCCTGATTTTACTGCCTGTCAGGGCCCATTTCAAACACCATGTCCCCACAGCTCAGTACCAGTTCCACAGAGCAATGCCTGGGAGTCAGATACCACTAATCATCACAAGCAAATAAAAGTGATTAGTCCCCTTTTCCAGATGATCGTACCGACACTCGGGGAGGGGAAGTGTGTTGTCCAAGGTCACGCAGCTACTGGCTCTCTCCTCTGTCTTCTTTGGAATTCTCTAATGGCCCCAATTCTGGTATTGATGACGCATGCACTTTTTTCTTTCTACCTGTTCCTCTCACTGACCACACACACGATTGCCAACCTAGAACAATACCAGGCTTATAGTAGGACCTCAATAGAAATTTGGTGAATGAAAGGACTATGGAGGTTCCTTCTATATAGTACCTTAGCCTAGTGTCTGGCATTAAATAGATTCTCCACGAAGGCTTTTCATTGAGCTGTATTTGCAACGCCTGGCCAAATAAGAGTATGTCAGAAGAGGGAAGATCAGAGGAAAACAGATGGTGGCAAAACCTCAGCTATCCAAAGTTTTCTGGAAATGAGTCATTCTGAAGACTGAAGGTGACCCTTTGAATCCAGGAAGAAGAATCCTAGGATTGCTTCTTTCTCAGCTACCCTGACGTCCACCACTCCTTCTGAGCTCCCTGGTTCCCTTGACCTTCTTTTCCTTCCCTGCTTCTCCTGTCTTTGTTTTTCTGTTGCTCCTTAGAAGCTTCTTACCTTACCAGCTTACCCCAGACCCCAACTCCTTCTGGTTTGGCAAAGTAATTGCAGTCTGCCCTGGATTGCTCTTCATACCTTTTGTGCCTAGTTCATTCCTGTTCACTGCATCAGCCCCTGCTCCATCAAGCCTTCCTTGATCTCCTCGGGCTAGTGTCTGCTTTTTGCCTGCACACCTCATGTTTCCCCACACAAGTGTCTGGGCTTACATCTACCTCGTGTGCTGGGCTGTGAGTTTCTCAAGAATTAGAATCGTGTCAGCCTTACATGTTTATGGATACAGTTGGCAGCTCTTGTATGCATTTTGGCTACCATTTGTTTCTTCAGTGTTGCTTTCTCTGAGGCGGATAGGCCTTTGCTTTCTGGTTGGCTGGACTGTCATTGGGAAATCATGGCTTCCGGCTATTCAGGGCTTGTCTGCTGGCCTACTTATCCTTTCCTGCTTTTTGTATGCTCCCCAGTATTTTACACTTGTCCATTTGGCCCAAGAGAGCTACAGCTCGAACAGTGTGCCTTCTGTTCAGGGCAGAAAGGGGTGGCCAGTCAGGGTGCCAACCCTGCTCTGGCGGGGACTCTTGCTCCAAGAATCAAGAGACCAGACCTCGTACATTTGTCCCGCAAGCATTTATGTCAGTGCCTACTCTGTACCTGAGCCACACCTTAGGGGGACAGAAATGAAAATTGGTCCGTCCTTGCCCTGACTCTGGTGTCCTGTGTGACCTTGAGTCCTTTCTAGGCCTCTTCCATTTCCCAATCTGAAAGCGAAGAGGGTAAAGACTTGCTCTTTAAGGGGACTTGGAGCTCTCAACGGTGGGGATCTTGTTTATCCCGGATGCTTCAGCCCTCTTCACATCTGTGTTTTCCGTTAGAAGAACCAGGCCTGACTCTCTTACCTCTCTTCCTCCTCTCCTGCAAATTCTGAGCAGGCATGCTCCAATACATCTCACCATGTATGTGATCAAGTATTCCCAAGAAGCAGCTCAAGTGAAGAAAGAGGAAGGAGAGAAAGGGGTGACATGTCAGGTGGCCATGTGGAGAATGAAAGCACACCCCACCCCCAACATACCAGAAAAGTTCTCTAAGCTCAACTTCGAAGAGTGCCATTAGTCCGTCTAATCAGGAGGCCCCAGCCAGAGTTAGGGAGTAGGGAGGAAGACAGAGTTCTGCTTATCTCCCTGGAGAAGACGAAGGAGTCAATATTTCCTTACACTGAGAGGATACTTGATAGCATTTTTGCATTTGAATTTCCTACAGCCCTTTTGATGACATTCAAAAGTTTTTTGTTTTTGTTTTTAGCACCTTGTATAATCTAGGCCTTATGCTGAGAATACTAGCTTCTTTTTTTAGGATACTTAATCACAAATTCAAGTGTACAGACATTTTCATGATTTTTGCTTGTTTAATGTCTGCCTCCTCCACTAGACTGCAAGTTCAGTGAAGACATGAGTCATGTTCATCTTTTTCACCACTGAATACTCAGCACCTACAACAGTGTATGGCAAACAGCAGTCACTCAATAGATAATTACAGGAAACAAATGAATCCAGAGGTCTGAGACCTGGAGACAATCTTTCATTTTGCAAAGGCTGGTCTGCAGAAGAAAGCCTCTTAGCCTGGAACCTAGTAGAGACTCAATACACGTTAATTGAACGAAACAAATAATAACAACAGGAACACATAATGCCTATGTGGTGGGCCCTGCGCCAAGCACTTTATATTCATTTACTCATTTAATCCTCACAACAACCCTACAAAGTAGGTACTGTTATCATTGGCATTTTACAGATAGGGAAACTGAGGCCCAAAGTTTCACCAGTCGTAAGTGGCAGAGCTGAGGTTTGAACCCCAGCTATCCAGCTCTAAAGTCCATGCCCCTAACCACTACACTGCCTCCCAACAGTGAATGGTCAAGCTGAGATCTAGAGAGACAAGCAATTTCCTAAGGTGTCTTGGGAAAACCATGGTGGAGCTAAGTCTGGAACCCAGGTCTGCTCTCTGTGAAATGCTTTTTCATATGATGCCCGGCCACCGATACAGAGCCCCTGGGAAGAGAGGCCCAAGGAGGTATTTGAGAAGTAGAGACATCCATGCAGAGAAAGACCCTACTTCACTCGGTGGCTCTCAGCAGGAGACAGGAGGAGGCAAAGAGCAGTCACTAGGGTAGAAACAAATGAGGTAACCAGGGTCCCTTTCTTTTATTTATTTATTTATTTTTTTTATCCTCACCCGAGGACATTTTTCCTTTTTTTTTTTTTTTTTTTTTTTCCAGATAGAGTGAGAGGGAGAGAGAGAAAGAGAGAGAAACATCGATGTGAAAGGGACATATCTAGGGGCTGCCACCCACACGACCCAACCAGGGCCAGGAACAAACTGCAACCGAGGTACGTGCCCTTAGCGGGAACCGAACCCGGGTCTCTCTGGACTGCAGCAGGGCCCCTTTCTTAAGCACTGAAAGGTAGCAGGTTGCTTTCAGAAGTCTTCCTTGAGGCCTAAGCCATTCTTTTCTCTGCACTAATTCATCAGGGACCCCCCCCCACACACACACACACATCTAGAACCACCCCAAGGCCATTACTGCCTCATTGTAATCAAGCACACATGGAGAAAATATCTATGTATATTAGGGAGATTAGATTGTAGGATCTGGAACCTGATGTGTGTAGGAAGTTGGGGCGGGCAGAGAAAAAGGGAACACTGGAGGAAAGTTTAGGTCAACCCTAAAACCTCCAGCAGCTAAATAGACTCAGTGATAACAGATTAAAGCAAAGCACCTGTAAGCACCTCGGCTTTAGAGGCTCTGACCTTCCATTTGGGCTTCTTAGCACGATAGAACAGCACAACAGGCATGGCCTTCTTCTCCCAAACAAATCTTCAGGAGATCCTCCAAACCTTCTCTGTCATGCAGTGGATCCCAGTCTGCATAATAATAGGTGAGTAAACCCCAGGAGCTAGAAACAGGCCAAGAAAGAGGCCATGAATCCCCAGATCAGGAGGGTTCCAAAGAGATCATTTGGCTGGTCCCTTCCCCCTGGGAAGGACTGTGCCTACTCACTCAAGACGTGGCTACTGTTGATTTCACTGGATTTCTCTCCTCCCAACCAAGGGGCGTGAAGGTCAGGAATAAGGCTGTAGTTTTTCTAGTTTCAAGATTACCCCTGCCTTCTCAGGACTGCCCCCTCTATTCAGAGCCAGATTCACAGACTGGGGCAAAGGTGGTGACGGCTTGTAGCATTGGTGTTACTAGGTAGGTGTAAGGTGATTTCCCAGTATAAGGCAATGGTGAGAAAATTCTGGGGCTGCCTGAGTAACTCATTAGACAGAATTTTGAGAAAAGTCCAGTTGTTTAGTGGACTCCCAGCCAGAAACCAGGGCTTTGTGGGCAGCCAGTTAAGAGGCAGGCTGAGAAACTGGACACGAGAAATGCCATCCTGAAGGGTGAGGCCAGTAGGAGGCAGCCTATTCCAATCCATGAATAGCTATATATCCCCTTAGAGCAGAGATTCTTAACTAAGACCTCGAATTCATGGGGGAGGGGGGCAATTTTGAATTTGGATGGAAAAAATTGTCTCTTTATTTTCACTAATTTCAAGAGGAAATGGTGAGTGTAGGCAACAAAGCACAGAAGTGTTAGAAACCCATGTTATTATATTACATTTTTTGTAGTGTTTTGATAACTGTGCTTTAGTATATTGAGTTTCCTTTGTAAATCTGTATTTTATTTTGAGCATTTAAATATATTATTTAGAGAACGGTCCATAGGCTTCACTGGACTGCCAAAGGAGCCCATCACTCCCAAGAGATAAGTTATTGAATTTTATTGAAGTCAAATCATGCTGAGCTCTTAGTTCATCAATTGTCCTTTCTTTTTCCCTCCCTCCTTTATCCTTCCCTCCCCACTTCCCTCCCTCTCTTCCTCCTTTTCATCCTCCCTCCCTCCTTCCTTTCCTCCCTCCCTTCCTTCCTCCCTCCCTTTCTTCCTTCTTTAGTACTTCATTCTTTTTTTTTTTTTTTTTTATCCTCACCCAAGGACATTTTTCCATTTTTTTGTTCAGGTAGAGTGGGAGGGAGAGAGAGGAACAGAGAGAGAGAGAGAGAGACATCGACGTGAAAGGGACACATCGAGTGGCTGCCACCCGCACAACCGACCAGGGCCGAGGACAAACTGCAACCGAGGTACGCGCCCTTAGCGGGAACCGAACCCGGGTCTCTCCGGACCGCAGGCCGACACTCTAACCGCTGAGCCAAACCGGCCAGGGCTAGTACTTCATTCTTAATTTCTTCACCCTCCTCCTTCCAGTCCCCAACCCTGTCCCCATGCCCTCTAGCACAGAGATTTGACATGAAGTGTGCTCATTCAATGTTTGTTGCATTATTAAATTAATAATTTGATTCCCACAGGTTCTTAGCTCTATAGTTAATTTGGATCCAATAAGTAACCACAAAATTTTATGTTTGACATACCAGCCATGTTCCTGGATTTCTGAAGGCTTTGATTAGAATGCTGGGTCTTCACTTTACACTGGAAATAACTGGTTGCCTACAGCCGTACACACACGTGTACACCCTGGAACCTCAGAAGGTCTTTCCTTGTTTGGAATAAAGGCGTTGGTGGTTTCTCTACTCTTAGCTTTCACCTGCCCTGGAGAATTTTGAAACCAAAATTCTGCTAGTGCTTCAATTTAATGCAACAGATTTTATCAGGAGTCATCTCCCCGTGCTTGGCACTGTGCTAATGGCTGTGTTCAAGAAGCTTACTGTCTAGTAGTGAAAGGGTCAGATAAGTAAGGTACTAACTACACAAGCAGCAAATTCAAATAGGGCAAGTAGAAGCATAAGTAATGCGCTGTGGGTGTGTGGAAGGGGAACCCCTTAATTCTGAGTAGAGAAGCAGCAAAGATATCACCAAAGAGGTGTTCTGTGAGCTAAGCCTTAAAGGTTGAGAGAATTGTGATAGGGAGAAAGTTGAGGAGAGTGTAGTCAGACTAAGGAACAGCGTCCCCAAAGCCATACAGATGTGAAATTGCATGGTGGATTGAGGGAAGGGGGGTAAAGTAAGGTGGTTCAGCCCTTGTTTCCCATACTTCAGACATTTGCATCCCACCTTCTGATTCTTTCCCTGGCTGAGTACCTCCTATGCTATTATTGCTTAACATTTTTTTCCAAATTGACTCATGTCTGTAACTTAAATTTATGTATTTTAACAAGAAACTTGATATCAGTACCATGAATTCACTTGTATTCACTGCACATTAAAATAACTCTTATCTATACACCACCTCACATCATCGTTACAGTGGTATGGGACGATACTTTGAGGGATGCTGGGCTAAAGCATAAGGGGTGTGAGTACAGGTACTGAAAGATGAGGCTAGAAAGATGTGAGGGGGCTAGTCCATGGAGGGCCTGAAATGCCGGGTCAATATGTTCAGATTTTATTCTGTCAGCAGTGGCAAAACACTGAAGGTTTCAGAGGAGGCAAATAGCATTATTACCGTGCTTTAACAAATTATCTGGCAGTAGCATGTAAAATGGACTGGAGAGGAAGAGACCAGCAGGCAAAAAGCAGACACACGTCTGCAGTCTAGACCAGAGGAGATCAAGTCCTGGACCAAAGAAGTAGCAATGGAGACAGACAGGAGGATGAATTGGAGACATTTTTTTGGAAAGGGAGAGAAGTCAACAACAGCTCCAAAATAGTGAAACTGACATTTCTCCTGAGGCCTGAAAGATGAATAGGAACTAGTCAGGCAAAAAGCTGAGGATAGAATATTCTAGGTAAAAGGGACAATGTGCAAAGAAGTCCAGATGCTAGGTGGCAGAGGCGTTGAAGGCACAGACAGAAGAACAGTATGGTGCAATGCAGAGGACAAGAGGGTGGCCAGGGCTCCATCATGGAGGGCTTTTGAAACCAGATTACAAAACTGGATTTGATCCTATGAGTCATGGGAAGCCATTAGTTGTTGAATTACTAAATCAGCATTTATTCCCACAGCTTCTTATGTCTATAGTTAATTTAGCTCTACTAAGTCATCACAAAGCCACAGACATGCCTCTTTGATAAGCCAGCCAGACTACATGCTGCAGAGGGACAGAGTCCGACCTGCATTCAACACGCTGCAGCATCATCGCTCAAATGGAAGCACAAAGCCTAGTTAGGAGCCAGAGCCATAATTGTCTGTGGAGAAAATCCCAAGGAATTTAGTGAAAACAAACAAGCAAAACTCCAAGAACTAACAAATGGGGTTAGCAAAGTGACAGGATACAAGATCACAAATACAAATTAACCACATTTCTTTTTTTTTTTTTTTTTTATCCTCACCCGAGGACATTTTTCCATTTTTTGTTCAGGTAGAGTGGGAGGGAGAGAGAAGAACAGAGAGAGAGAGAGAAACATCGACGTGAAAGGAACACATCGAGTGGCTGCCACCCGCACAACCGACCAGGGCCGGGGACAAACTGCAACCGAGGTACACGCCCCTAGCGGGAACCGAACCCGGGTCTCTCAGGACCGCAGGCTGACGCTCTAACCGCTGAACCAAACCGGCCAGGGCCACATTTCTATATATTAACAGAGAACAATTGAAAATAGAAATAAAAATATACCATTTTAATACTTCCCAAAAAATGAAATATGTATAAATAGATTTAACAAAACCTTTACAGTATATGTAGGCTGAAAACTATCAAATGCTAATGAATACAATTAAATACCTAAGTAGTTAGAGATATACTGTGTTCATGGATTGGAAGACTTAGCAGGGTAAAGATGTCAATTCTACCCAAATTGATCTATAAGTGTAATGTAATTCAAATAAAATCCCAGCAGAGTATATTAAGAGTTTTGCATAAATATTAAATTTTCCAAATTTGATAATAGCGCTGTGGGTGCTATAAGGGAAGAGAATGTCTTTGCTTTTAGAAAATACGCACTTAGGTATTTAGGGGGAAAGTATTGTCATCTCTGCGATGTACTCTCAAATACAAACTTATATATTTATATTTAGAAATAAATCAAATGTAAAGTGTTAACAAGGAATAGATTTAGGTGAAGATTATATGGGATTTTATTAACATATTCTTACAAATTTTCTGTTGATTCAAAGCTTTTCAAAAAAAAGTTTAATTTAAAAACTCCCTCCCATCTATAATGAACTAAACAAACTGATGAACAAAATAGACCCAGAGTCATAGAAGTAGGGTACAGACTGACATTCCTCAGAAGGGGGGAAGGGGAAGGGATAAACCACAGAACTTATATGCATGTACTCATAACCGATGGACATAGACCACAAAGCTGGGGACGGGATGGGAGAGGATAGGAAGGAGGGAGTCAATGGAGGGGAAAAGGAGAAACATCTGTAACAAAAATAAGTTAAAACAAAACTCCCTCCCATCAGTTGTTGTAGACATAGACAAGCTGATTCTGAAATTTATATAGAAGATCAAAAGAACTATAACAGCTAAAACAAATTTAAAAAATAAAGTTGGAGGAATCACACTATCTGATCTTAAGACTTTGTATAAAACTACAGTGATCAAGACACTGATTATTGGCAAAGGGATAGACATAGTGAGCAAAGAAACAGAATATAGAGTTCAGAAATAGATCTACATAAATATGGGCAATTTTTTTGACGCTTAAGATTATCGGCTTTATTTTGTCAAGCATACCTTTTAACTTTATTTTTCAATGTATTTTTTAAATTTTAATCATTTTTTAATTTTTCAATTACAGTTGACATACAATATTGTATTAGTTTCAGGTGTGCACTCCAGTGATTAGACATTTATATAACTTACAAAGTGATCATCTCAATAAATCTCATACCTATCTGACACCATACATAGTTATTAGAATATTCTTGACTATATTCCCTATGCTGTACTTTACATCTCCATGACTATTCTATAACTACCAATTTGTGCTTCT